ATACCACCACTCCCCACGTGATCGGTCGCATTCAAGGGATGCCAAGACACAGCATCTACCTCTCGCTCCCTCTTCCAAATCTCACTTGGCAAGCTTTCCATTACCAAAGACACACCCTCTCCGAGTGGAGCGGAGCTTAGCCTATGGCTGTTTGGCTGTCCGCGTTCACATTCCGCCTTCCATGAGCAGGATATAGGTGCATCTTGGCATACTCTAACGCTTTATATTCGTGTAACGCGGGTGAAGTGGTCTAACTGAACATCTGAACAACTGACCAACCAGAACTGTGGGGGATACAAACTTGGATAGAATATGGGGTGTTGGTACGGCATGTCGCTGTCGATACGAGCTCGGTAGTACGTATGGATGCTCGTGATCGAGCTCGCGGCGTGCGGAATGTTGCAGTGGGTGGGCCGTGGTACCATACAAACTCATCGGAGCCAAGATATAGCAACGGAATTCGGTGGGCTGCCTGGTCCCTAGGACACGTCGTCAGCGATCTCAGCATGGGAAAATTGTTCCTCTCGATTTTGAAGTGTTGGTTGCCCCTCTCTACCGCAGCAATCTCCGCCCACCTCCCTTACCCTTCCACCCCGCAAGTCATCAAGCAGAAAAGCAGAAATCACCTTCAATGACACACTTCCAGATGAAGACGTACTCGTCCCCTCCATTGCCTGTCCATTCCTACCCCTGTCCCACCCCAGTCATCGGAGCTAGAATATAGCAACAGCATTTGGTGGGCTGGCCACGCCGCCTGGTACCTACAGATGTTGTCAGCGATGTCTGCGTAGTAGCATTACTCCTCTCAATCTCGATGTCTTCTCTTGCGCAATCTCCGCCCTCTTCCCTCCCCCTTCCACCCCATCCAACTTCGATTCCGCAAGACTCCAAACCAAAGAAACTACACTTACCTTCAAAGGCATGCTACCAACCCAACACGTACTTCTCCTCTTCCGCCCTTTTCCACCACCCGCTCCCTCCCCAGCACATCTCTCACAGACTGCCTCCAAATCCCACATCTCACCAATCATAACCCCCCACCCTGCAAGCAGCACCTGATGCAGTAGCCCCCCGCCTTGCAAATCTAGTTCCCAGGGTTCACCTGCCCAGAGACCACCAGGGGCAGTGTGGGGGCCGACGAGAGGGGACATTTCGAAGGAAGGGCTGTCGGAGGCGACGGCGGCGAAGGGGTGGCTCCAAAGGAAGGACAGAGTGCGGGGGGAGGACTGTGGTCGCGCTATTAGTTGGGGGGTTTGGGGAGGGAAAGGATATTCAGGAATCATAGAGGGATGCATATGGGAAAGGGAGATAACAGGTAGGCATGATAAGCATGAAAGGGAACAAGAAGCAGTTGAGGAAGAAACCATAACATACCTCCACCCCAATAAAAGCCGGCGGCTTCTCTGCCAATTTCCTCCGCTCCTGCACACCCAACTTTATATAATCTCTCGTAAACCCCGTCCGAAGCAACAGAATATCACCTTCCCTAACCTCCACTCCCGTCTCACTCAACATCTCCTCCAATTCCTCAATTTTGATACTGACAGCCTGCAGCGCATACACCTCCCCCCTCCCCTTGCTCTCCAAATACCGCGGATAATCAAGCACAACGCCTCGTCCCACTATACCCCCGCGCTCAACAACTCTATTGATCCCAATCACATCCCCGCTCTCCAGATCTTGTTGCGTGCGCCCACCGTAGTACAGTTGTGCTTTTTGATATCCGTAGTGACGGAAGCCGTCCCATTGGCTACTGCCCTGCGTATTCATGTTCAAATGATCGTCGTTGACAGTGCGCTTGGTGCCATCTGGATGGGATTTACGCGTGTTAGCGGTGGGTTGTGGTGGTGGTGGTGGTGGTGGTAGGGTAAGTGAGAGAATGGAGGGCCGGTTGAAGGACGGGTGGGATGGTAGGTTCAGTGTCCAGTCGAGGGAAATGCGTTCGCCGGTTTGGATTTCACTGGTGGCGAGGAGTGTGGTGGCGGGCGTGAGCGTGTTGAGGGCGCCCAATTCATCTGAGGGGCCATAGAGTCCCCATGCGTTTAATGGAGGACCGTTTTTATCGAGAGGGAGAGCGCTGAATGGTGGGCGTGGGGTAGGACTAGACATGTTGGAGAAATTCGATAGTTTTAGAAAGTTTTGGTATCGTGAGGCCGAGGAGATTGTTGCAGATTTTTATAAACCCAATTCACAGTATATGTGTATTCGGGCGTCGGGGTAGTTTTGTGACGTAGGGTGGGGTAAGGGCGGGGCTGCCGTATCATGTTGAGACAAATTGTCCCGTTCGCTAAGCTGGAAGATAACACAACTGGGAGATCCCATCTCGGTGATCTAGTCAGTAATTCAACGTTTCGCAAGATATAGGTAATCGTTTGTCATGACGTCGTTTCATTCATGCTATATACAACATCAGCGATGCGCTCAAAAGTCGGGGCCCATGCCTACACCGCCTCCACGAGAACTTGTGTTCTTCAGATGGGCACCGCTGCCTTTGAAGAGACTCTGCCAGATGAAGGCTTCGCTAAGTAGCAATTCAATGTCTTTCTCAGTCCAATTGCGGGTGGGCAGCGATTGTAGGAACATCATGGTCTCCTGAAAGTCCATTTTCCTCAGCTGATCGGACCACTTGACAAGAAACGCGGCGCAGACGTAGAGATGAAAGGACGAGAACCCATCTTCCTCGGCCTGTTGAACAGTCAGTAAAGTTTTCAGACTCGGACAATGTACGCACCAGGTACGTGTCCCACATCCTTATTGTATTCTTGACAGATATTTCACGCATAAGTAGACAATTCATCCACCGGAAGCTGAACTGGATGAACTCGACGCCCTCATTTTCTAGGTGCTTGGCCAAGCTTGCATCTATACGTGTTGTGAGATCCCTCAGACGGACAACCTGCCGTTGGATACCTGGCTGCTGTGCAATGTAATTGTCTTGTATACCGTCCAAGAGCTTGGTGAGACACCAAAACGAGTCGGCCTCAACTGCATCCAATACTTGCTTTGGTAGCTGCCCAGGATCCATTCCAAACTCGATATCGGGATCTGAGATGTATGCACCAAGGAAGACCTGCCAGAAAGGAGTGACGAGGTCATTGATGCCTTGGACATAACCTGACGCGGGATGCCGGATTGCCCAGAGGTACAAGATGCGCTCGAGCGATCTTTGGGTTGCTTCGTAACTGTAGAGCTCCAAATGTGGATTCGTTCGGGGTACATCTATGCTGATTTGATGCCATATCGCTTCGTCTAAGCCACGCCCCCGGCCACGATTCGAGGATGTTTGCGAAGATGGTCCTGCTATGGCAGAAGCCACAGCGCCGGCACTGCCCGCAGTACCGCGTTCGAAAGCTTGACGGACGCCCTCCAAGTATTCCTTTCGCTTTCTCTCCAAGGTCGCGACCCGTCGCTCGCTGCTGGTAGGCAGGTAGCCGAGGAGGACCTGCCAGGTCATGGCGCGAACCTCTGATGGCACCCCTGACCAGGCCGAGTCGCGTAGATCAGAGAGTGAGATTGTGCTTGCCTGCAATATGCGCTTGAACTTGTTGATTCTCGTTGTCCGCGACGAAAATTCCTCGATTTGCTTGGCCGTTGCATTCGCCGGAAGACTAGGATGCGATATGAGGTGGAGTGAGTTTGCAGGGTCTCGCAGGATTTCTTGGTACTGTGGCCGTAGGATCTTCCCCTCGATCTTCTTCGCCGTGGGGTAATTGGGTATACCGCGTTCTTCGGCAATGTCGCCACTATCTATGCCCCTCCATGCTGCCGATGAGCCTGTACTCGTCCTGCTCAGCGTCCCTCCTGGATCTTTGGTCTGTGGAGGCTGTTTCCGCCGCCCTTTTCTTCGCATGTTTGCAATACTTGGGAGACCGAACTCGTCCTCATCGTCTTCGAACATGATGTCACCATCCTCGTCATCGCCATAGTTCCAATCTTGATGCGTTTCACGGAGAAAGTGGCTGTAGGTAGCTCGCGCCGGGCGGGGAGAAGTGGTGTTGCTTGTTCGGCTGGGCGCTATGCTCGACTCGCGACTGTGTGTCGCTGAAGGTGGGGTACGTGGACGTGAATTGGATCCTGAGACGCTCCTTGGGACGTCAGCATGTCGCACTTCTATTATGTCTGGAGCGCGGAGGGCGCGGAGGGGACTGTACAAGGAGCTGAAGTTGAGTATGTCGGCGTGTGAATAGGATGCGCCAATGACCCTTTTGCTTGGAGGACTCGAGGGATTGGACGAGGTGCGCCAAAAGGGAGACGCAGAGCTGTGTGAGAGAGAAAGAGAGAGTAGAAGTTAGCCAAGGAACAAGCAATCCATTCCTCCTGTGACCAGGCCAATGACCTACCCAGAGTGGTCTGTATGTCGGAAAGGCGACAATGTTAGCGCTGCCATTCACCCCTCACCATGACATGACGCCTTGGCTGTTGCTGAGAGAAAGGGCACGAACCGACCTGGACCATTTCCTGCGCGATCAGGTGTGGTTAGCAAAAGGCAAAGTCACATGATGCAGCCCTCTGCTGGCGCATGTGGCGACCATATAAAGAGGGGGAGAGAGAAAGAAAGAGACACACCTGCTGCTGTTGCTTTTTAGAGGCCATGATGAAGGTCGTGTCTTTATGAGAGATTACCTAGAGAGAGCGAGAGAGTCCAGAAGAGAGCCCCCACTGCTAGTTGTGGTAGCACGACGCCCGCACCGACACAACGCTATGGTACGGTAGTGGTGGTGGTGGTGGTGGTGGTAGGTAGTTTCACTGTTTGAGAATGACTTTGTAGTAAGAGCACTAGTACGATAGAATACTCTACACAGCCAGCAGTAGGGCAACGGGGCAGGTACAATAGCTACAGCTACCTAACCTACCACCAACCTTTGCCTAAGTCGCGCCTGCCCCGCCAAGGCTGTTCCGACGCTAGCCAACTCTAGCGCGATTTTGGGCTCTCGGTCTCAGTCTCAGTCCTCACACACACACTCTCTCTCTCTTCTCCGTTCTCCTCTCCGTCGCCCGTTGTCAGCTTTTGCTTTTCACCTCACCACTTCGCTACTAGCCATCAAACCGCCTATTCTACGTCCATCGCTGCGTCGACTGGCTGCCACAGCCCCTTTGCCAGCTCACCGGTCGTGTTAACAGTCCTTTTTGGGGCTCTCTTATCACCCACACCAAGCTCACCTCTCAGCTCCAGATCATTGCGCACAGTGCGCGTCGCCCTTGATTCAACTTTCATCAGTTGTTGAGCCACTCTTCAAGCTCACCGCGCCCACAATGGCCGACGAAAACTTCGAGGACGACATCTTCGACGATCTGTAAGCCTGCTTCGGACTGCGCCATGCTATGCTTCAGCCCTGGCGCTGCCCAATAGCTCCTAAGGTCACCGACTAATTTTGTCAGTTACGATGAGGAGCCAGCAGCGCAATCCTCTGCGCCGGCTGCTGCCGCACCAGCTCCCCAAGCTGAGCCAGAGCCTACACAAGCTGAGCCAGCCAGTGCACCCCCAGCAGAGACTGCTCAGAACGACGCTCACGATGCGGCTCCTTCGTGGCAAAACCAGCCTGCTGCAAACCAAGACCAAATCATGGACTCATCCGGCTATAAGGGAGGCGGCAATAATAATAACAACCAGTCCTATGACAATGCACCCGTAGAGGATGATAACTACGGGCCTATCAACGTCAAGGAAGACGGGTAAGTTTTGCATCATGTACATTCATTACTTCTATCAGAGGAGCGCATCATAAGGTAAAAGTATATACGAAAATAGTGAGTACTCAACAAGGCGTATTCAATGGATACTTGATCCTGGATCGACTATAAAGAGATGTACTACTAGGTTGGCACGTACTCAAAGCGTTGCAGTTGGCAGGCAGGATGGCCCTGTGGTGCAAGTGTGCGGTCTGCCCATAAGGTCGGCGAGCAAGAATTCGCAAAGGTCCATGCTTGGCACAGAGATCCACAACCTAGCTCAGAGGCTGCACATGTGGTCGAAAGAACTTGGGATATGCATCGCTATACTGGCGAATTGATCATGATAGGAGACGGTGCGCTGCAAGCAGTGACTGAGGGAAGACGCTGGGCATGAACACTCAACGGCTCTGCTATCTTAGGCCATCCTTCAACACACCTCGCTCGAGGATCATCGCGCTTTTCCACAAGCTTTGGTAGCGCAATATGTCGATATATACCTAGGTACTTGATAGCGCGTACCATCAACGCAAGCTGAGCATAGCCTTCGAGTCGTAGGATAGTCTGGTAGACAAACCACGCTCGACTTCATAGCAGAACACAGACGCTTCAACCGAACATACTGTGCCTGTTGCCAGGCTGCTCTCTCTTGAACATGGATCACATGGTGGATTTCTGAACACCTGGGTTGATGCCGCCTGCCAAACCTGATTTGGCGATCGCCACCAGGTCGACGATTTTGAAGAGAAGTGGCACGAAACTCGAGCTTCGCTTACACGTCCGGGGAGTGGGACCACGGCTTCTCTACAGAGGATGGCATTCGCAGTCCCATCAACAACCACACCACGATCACCTCAATGGCATGTACAGTCGGCCGTACAATGCATCAGACAATTGTTGTTCATTTGGTAGCTTTTCAACTCCATTGGCCAATCACAGTCTGCATCGGCAACCACATCTGCGACTAGTGGCCACCACCAAGACTTGTTCAGACGCCGATATATCTGGAAGAAGCATACAGTCCCAACAACATTTGCAATAGCCCTATGGAAAAAAGACAATGTTTCTCCTCTCAGCCTGGAGAATACAGGACCATGGATCGTTCTTCCAGGGCGATTACCAAGAAATCATGACATGCGACACGCCCAACCGCCAGCTTCCAGCTATGACCACTAAGAGATACATAGAATATCTCCATCCCCGCCAACCTGATGCGCTCCCATGTTGAAAAATGCTTTGCTTACAACCATGTGCCTCTGAATCAAGTCAATGCTAATTCTCAATGTAGAAAAATGTTCATTGGCGGGTTAAACTGGGAGACAACAGAAGGTACGTGACTATGGGAAAAGACAGATAGCACCAACATTCACGAGTCAAGTCACCTAATAATGCCATTACACAGATTCCCTCAAGGGCTACTTTACACAGTTCGGCGAGGTCAGCGAGTGCACTGTCATGCGCGATTCCGCCACTGGCCGCTCACGAGGCTTTGGTTTCCTCACCTTCCGGGATCCCAAGTGCGTCAACATCGTCATGGTCAAGGAGCACTATCTCGATGGCAAGATTGTATGATTACATTCATCATCCAACCAATCATGCACTGACAATGGCCAGATTGATCCCAAGCGAGCTATTCCCAGAGAGGAGCAGGAAAGGACGAGTAAGATTTTCGTTGGAGGTGTCAGCCAGGAGGCTACAGAGGAAGACTTTACCGCTTTCTTCAAGCAGTTCGGTCGTGTCGTTGATGCTACACTGATGATGGACAAGGAGACAGGAAGACCCCGTGGCTTTGGTTTCGTCACCTTCGACGGCGACGCAGCAGTTGACGCCACCCTTAAAGGACCTCTTCAAATTCTTGGTAAACCCATCGAAGTGAAACGCGCCCAGCCCCGCGGCAACATGCGCGACGACGATGGCGGTGACAACAAGAAGTTCGGCCGCAACAAGTTTAACAATCGCGACAATGGTCATAACAACCATCACAACAATAACAACAACGGCGGCTATGACAACCAGCAGAACCAAGGTCAAGCTGGCGCCAGCGGCATGAGCCCCGCCATGATGGCCCAGTACTGGCAACGCATGCAACAGTACTTTCAGACCATGCAGCAATCTCTCGCCCAGCAACAACAAGGCCCGATGGCCAACCCCATGGGCGGCATGCCAGGCGGTATGAACCCAATGGCCATGCAACAAATGCAACAACAGATGATGCAAGGCGGCGGCATGAACCGCAACACGGGCTCTCCCAATCCCCAAATGATGGGCCAAGGCGGCATGAACCCAATGGCCATGCAACAAATGCAGCAAATGCAAGCCATGCAAGCCATGCAGCAAGGCGGCGGCGGAGGAAACAACGCAGGCAATGGTGGAGCCGCTGGAGGAGGTGGTAATGTAGGAATCCCCCAACACGGCCCCGCATTCAATGCACAAGACCAACTCAAGTTTGAGCAGCAGAAACTCGAGCAGCAACTTGCGCGCACCCAGCAACGTTCCTCGGGCTACCATGCCACCGGCGGTCCCACGGCCTGGGAGGGCATGTACGACGATGCGCCCCAGCCGCATATCCCGTCTGGACCTGGTCGTGGTGGCGGCGGTAGCAGCGGGGGATTCAACAAGGGTGGGAGTCGCTCCAGACAGGGTAGTAGCCAGCCGCCTGTTACGCCCGGTCAGGCGCCAATTAATGCGCCCACAGGACCTAAGAATGCGGGCAAGCCGGGTGCGAATTATAGGGGCGGTGGGAGGGGTCAGAACTACAGACATCAGCCTTATGGGGGCGGAAGGGGTGCTTAGGGTGTAGAGTTGCTGAATTTTTGTGGGGGGAGTTCTTTCTTTGGTCATATGTATGTGGCTTTTGGTGTGGAGGAATGTGGATATGAAGGGTCATGGTCGGCGAGAAAAGTGATATGGATGGAGATCAGAATGGATGGGAAATCGGGGATGAGGAGATGGGTGATGTGAACAGAGATGGCTAGCTGGCTGGAGATGCATGGACGAAAAAGGATGCGTCGTTCACACATGGCTTTGGAGGAGTTTTTCATTAATGTCTCTTGTTCCACCCCGCTTCTCCCCTTTCCCCCGCTCTCCTCCCCTCTTCTCCTGTATTTTATGGGATTTTATTCTTTCTCTCTTGGAGTCTGGAAATATCAAGGCTGGAAATACTATGTCTTTAATGTAACACCGTCTCGCTTGCTTAACTTTGCCGTGGTAGTCGTGATTGTGGTTTTCTACGTCTTGTGTCCTGTATCCCTACCTCCTAGGTATATGCCACAACCATAATCCACACCCCAAAACTGAGAAGCCAACTCCGCTTCGACAGATTCAGAGTCTATACAGTTTCTTTCCATGTCTTCCATCCATACAACGATTGTATACAGTCCGACAAGGTGATTGCGTGGCAAGTCCGCGTCTTAGTAAGCGTGCGTATATATATAGCCTTCTGGATCATTAGAAACACGCACCTTCCACGCGTTCAACAGTTCGCGAAAGATGGTGAAAAAACGACAATCTTTTGTACAGATGAGAAGGCGTGGTTGTTGAAACCTGCGTGGTATGCGCAGATGGGGACAAGGGCTGTTTGTTGGAGAACTCCGTGGCCTGGGGATCATGCGGAGAACGGGTGTTTAAAAATTAAAGCTTGGAATATCATGTGTTTGGGGATCGGACGTCTTCTGTACCGTACGTGTGTGTGTGTGTGTGTGTGGAACGGGTTTAAATACCTCTACACTTGACATACAATACAGCATCTTACTTCCCCATGCTTCGAGTCGCTTCTTTTGCGTTCATGGTGGGAAGGACTGGTTAAAAAGTCAGAATTCTTCTTTTAATGTCTTTGGAGATTGGGATTTTGCTGTAGATGCCTGCGTGTATTAGTGAGAGACATAATTTCCGTGATGTTTGAAGCAGTGGACAGCACTTTGACCTGAACAACAAACTCGTATAACTATCAAGCATAAAAATACTCAGCACCGCATGACACTTCACACCGCCCAGACCTACCTCAATTTATCAAAACATACCTCCCGCAGTGGTATGTCTCGGATATGGCAAAGAAATCCTTGACATGTTTCCGCCCAAGAGAATTTCAGTGAATGTTCATAATCGCACTGGCGAACCTCGAATAAAAGCCCCTGTGAAAGCGCTCATGGTGTATTGACTCATCCTGCTGTTTTGCAAGCAAAAGTGATTTGCTAGAGAGAAGATGATAGATTCCTGCGTGATTAAGATCTCACGTGCACGGTGTGCTAGTTTCCCGCCCTGCACTTTGTTCTCACTCTACCGAATGAAAATCTCGAAGGCAATGTCTCATAAAGGATACATAGACCGTACTATGTCCCCTGTGCCCCCCGAAAACAAAAAATCCATGACAATATAATGATAGCGACGGTGCATTTCCGCTTGAACAAATTACCTCGAACAAAAACGACAATTGCACTCTCAATTCTAAATTTTTAACCCCAAACAACTATATCGGGGGAATTACTCCACAACATGACCATGCCCAAAACCACCCTACTGAAAGAACACTACGACCATACACGCAATCACTCTCACGCAATCAAGCACCCCTAGCTCAAACCCCACCCCACCCCTATCACAGACACCCACAAGCCCACCCATCATGATCACACACACGTCCAGCCATCTCTCTCAAACCCCTCAAACTCCTCAACACCCACCAACCCATCAACCCACCATACCCAAATAACCGTACAATCTCCCCCCCACATCCTACAAAATCCGCACCGCAGCCTTATGCCCATGTCCAGAAAGTCTGCTCTCAATATACACCATGTGTAGCTGTATCCCCCACCTCCAGCAAGAAAAAAAACACAATCTATACTATTCCAACCGCCACTCTGTACCCCTGTGTGCCGTGATATCGATGTTTATGTCAATATACGCCCTTCACATCCCACGCTCAAGCCTCACAGCCAGCATACGTCGATACCGTTTACCCTACCCATTCGCGCACGAAAAACTTCAAAGTGTGCAAATATGGGAAAGATGTACTACGCATGTAATACGCTGCTCTCCCTTCACCTGCGCGTGCCACGCAGGAACCCAGTCTGCTTTTTTCTGGGAGGAGAGCGGGGACAGGTGTACGTGATTTGGGGGTTGAAGGGGGGCCGTTTTGTTGGTGGCTCTGGATACGCGGTGTTTATACATGGGAATTGGGCTGGCTGTGTGAGTAGGTGTGTTGGGTTGTGGTTTTGGGTTGTGGGATGGGGTGGCGTTTGGGTGGGATGCGTTGTTGGATATGTTTGGACTTTCCACAGACATCCAGGACGGGATTTATGTTTTGGGCTGCGAGGTAGTGAGGGGGGAGTGGTGGTGAAATCGTGGTGAAAGGGAGTGTGTGGAGGTGATGGGGGATGGGATAGAGTAGAATACAGTAGTCGAGAGAATGGCGTTTAAATGCAGTATTTGATGTTCCGAGGAAACTGTTCAGAGATAGTTATTGTGACTCGATGAGAAGAAAATCTGGAGTCAAGTACAAGAGAGAGAGAAAGGCACCAAGTGAGTCAGTCGTTTGAAAGTATTGAGAAATCTTGTATATTTTGCACAGCAAGAGTGCCAATAATTAGTTTCTATGAGGGAGAGAACAGCGTGTCGTCGTTATTCATACTGAACAACATGTGCGCGGCGTTTTCGCTCCTGCTCATAGAACTTCATGGCCTAATATCAATGGCATGAGCCGCGACTAGGCAGATGAGCACAAATCCTCTATCCCGAACCTCTACCGGTAACGCCAAAGGAAACTCCCAGCAGTAAGACCGAGATCCTACTCAATAAGGGCAGCCCACTTCTTTCCCGTTCCCTTCTCTCCAACCTTGCCAACCCATCCCCTCAATACCGATACCATCTTTTCCCGTTTTCCACCAACCGAACCACGCAACATCTCCTCAATTCCATTCTTGACTCCAATCTCGCGGCAACGCTGCATCAGGAACATCTCAATCGCTATACCGGGCCCAAAGCTCGCGGCCACGACATGGTCCCTACCCGGCCCCAATTTGCGCAAGCCATTCAGTACGATGAGAACGGTGGGGCTCGAAGAGTTTCCGTAGTTTTCGTAGACGGCAAGGGAGGCGCGGATGTGGTCTTGGGAGAGACCGAGGTTGTCGGTTGCACCTTGGAGGATGGAGGCGCCGCCAGGGTGCAAGGCCCAGTCGAACTCTGAAGGGGTGAGGTGAGAGGTAGGCGGGGAGTTTGATTTGTGTAGGTGTGCGAGCATGGGAAGGATGGCGCTGACGGCGGTCTTTGGCACGTGTTTAGTGATGTTGGCGATCATACCTAGTGGAGTGTCAATGTTAGTTTGTGATCCACCGCTAAAACATATATGTAATGCATATGGACTCGATAACTTACCATGTTCCTCCATGTTGTAGGACATTTGGTCCGCCGTACCAGGCACAAGCATACTACCCCATTGATGCAGTTCATAGACTGGACGCTGTCCTGATGCCCGGTCAAGTGCCAATCCGTTCGTGACGACCACTGCGGCGGCAGCATCCGAGAACAGTGCGGGCGCGATATGAAGCTCTTGATCTTGGAGGCAGGCCTGCAATTCCGCTCGGAGAAATAGACTACACAACTCGCAGGCAATCACAAGAATTCGTGCTGGCTGTCCTCGCGATGAGGCAGCAGCTGCCAGATTCGCAGCTGCTCGTAGCGCTGACAGGCCGCCTGCGCAACCCACGCCGTGTAGCAGAACGCGTTGCACACTTGGATCGAGGCTAAGTTTCTGACACACAAAGAGATCGTAGCCGGGGTTGCTCTGAGTGGTGCAAGTGACGGCAACAATGTGTGTGATTTCCGAGGCTGATACTTGAGCTTCGAGCATAGCCTTGCTGCACGCCTGAGCTGAGAGCGCCACACCAACGTCTTGATAGATGGATGATAGCTCTTGAATGCTTGGAGGGGCTGCATCCTCTTTTGTCCATGTCGATGGGTCGAAGATTATGGGGCGTGCCTTGATTTTTGTCCTACGGTTGAAGTGAATCAACTTTTGCAATCTGATAGTCAAAAGAGTTAGCTTCTTCACTACGCACAGCTTTTCAAAATGAATACAAGATACTTACCCTGGCTCAGTAATTCGGTCGGGATACAGTCGGTTGAGCAGACCTTCAAAGTCGTCCTGTTTGACAGTGTGGGGAGGATAGGCAGTGGCCAAGCCTGTGATGAAGATCGAATTCATGATGTCTGTTTATGATTTATCCGTGAACCAGACAGCAAGAGTTGCGATTGAGAGAGTTCAAGCGTAGAGGCTCGCGTTGTGGGCGCGTCTCGCGTTTGTACCAGTCGGTCGGTGAGAGTGCGGTCGGTGAAAGTGGAAGTAGCTCAGTGTTGTCACTGAAGGCACGACCGTACAATAGTGTACTTGTCAATTTGATATCTTGAAAAGTGCAGGGAATCGATAGAGAGCTCACGAACTGTTGGGCAGTGGTTGAATGATGTGAGGCTCATGCGGGTTGAGCGGCGACGATAGCGGTGGTGGTGGTGACGGGCTACATATAGAAGGAGGGAGTGCAAACGGAGAGTGAAAGCACATGAGGTCCCTGCGTAGCAGTGTGAACGAACACACACAGTGCTGGGTGAAAATACGAGGCATTGTGTGATGCTGCGCCATGCATAGACCATTATGCTACTGTAGACTGATGTCTCGCCCCCCACTGCCTAAGTGAATCCAAGCAACACGGTGAGCGAGAATGCTCGCCCCGTAAGCCACATACCAACCAGACCTCTTGATTCATTGACCAATGACTTGAAGGAATCACGGTATGCTCATGGAACTTCCAAAGGATTATTGGGGGAGACGTTGTTGCTAAGGTATCTAGGCTCAACGGTCCGAAGGGAGGATGCATAGACAGGAATCATTGTGGTTCGCAGGATGGCATTGGCAGTTCAAAGAAAGATGCACGCGGTTTCCAATAGCGGAATTGTGGACAAACGGATAACAACCCAATGCTGGCTCTTGGAGTATCAGTAGGCCACGATATGCCCCAAACACTCCAACATTCGCAGACTAGTGTGAAGTAGAGGATATCTACATACAGCAGGATCCATAACATCCATAACACCATATGATCAGGACGCATTATACTGGACGGTAGGAAGCCATTCCAGCTCGTGTTGGTACCGCGTAGGTCCAGTTCCTGCCTTGAGCAGTGTGGTAAAGCTTGTGCCGAGGAAGTGCCATCAAATGCAAATGTCGAGGTCATGATCATGTTGGTGCGAATGTTTACGTGTTGGCCTTGCACGAGGATATTGTGGTTCCAGTTCGGATGTGAAGTCCTCGACGGGTACCTGCTTAGACAACCGATACCAAGGGTTCCACGCACAACTCGAATTTTATCGAGACTCGAGAGGGAGGATTTTCAGCCGCATGACGTTGCACAAGATGTGATTATCCAAGATCTCACTAGCGAGCCTAGGTGCCTTGAGTCGAGAGTGCCGTGAATAGATCATGGCGCGGATACATTTTCCCTACTCGTTCACCGGAGAGATGTCAGATTCACAAAGGCGATCGACGAGCGGGGAGTAGATATAGCTCCAAGGGCTGAGTCTTAACATTTTGTGTCATTGTCAGGCATGTTTGTAAGATTATCGTAGGATGTACGGTCGCTGCCTGAATTCTTGGGTAGGCTGAGCCACACTAGTCCAGCTCCCCATCAAGCTGCTCTCAGTCGCCTAACACGGTTCACTCATATTGGCATATCGAGGTGCTCTCATTCGGGCTGGCCTGGTGGGAGAGAACCAGAAAAGGCCGACAAGGCTGAACAGGGAGTGGAAAGAACTTCTGCGTGGGTATCCTGGATGTTTATTCCAACGCATGGTTGCGGCGTGGACATGTTCTCGTAAGCCCAAAGAGGTTGTCAAGTGATGTCTTTGGTGTCCGCGGAGCAGCATAGCAGGGTTCTGCATCATGATTCAGGTCGTCAGTACAAGGCACTGATTGGGAAGTCTGCGCGATTCAACAATGCCTTTAAGTTGCTTTATCGTAGCAAAAATCTCGCCTTGTTTGTCCGACGGCGATCCTTGAGGATTGGCAAGACAGTGTATCAAGAGCACGTTTGTTGTCATCCTTATTTCTACATCTTTTTTTGACTGCCGCAAGGTTTCTTCCAACGAGATAGGGGCATACGATCCAAACAGATCCTGGACATCATGAAATCAACTCCGAGGCCGTGCTATTGGCATGTGTGAATCCCAAGATGATGGACCGTTCGTTTCACTGTGGGTACTCTATGTTCGATGGCGTGCCTCGCAAAAGATCGAGGTCCCGGAAGATCAGCCGGGTAAGACGAAAGACCAAGACCAAAAGATCTCAGGTCCACCACGGCATGACCCAAATACCGGGTTGACAAGGGGCCCACAACCAAGCACGCCCACGCACACACACATCTTCGCCCGTCATCCCATCCTCGCGGCATGCCGTCAGCCTCAGGTGTACACTTACCTATGCTCCATTGGGAAATGTACGGTGGTATGTAAGTAAGTTTCGGGCCGGCTACACAAACATGTCAAAGTGGCCCCCCCCCCGCCAAAAACGTGTCAGTCAGGTACATACCCGGGACACATACGAGAATGTCTCATGGTACCAAGATAGAGGAACCCACCAGCAGTCTGAGCGCGGTGCTGGACGGCGCGGGCCTATCCAACCCGCTAAGGTCACGTGTCGCATTGCCTTCCCAAAGCGGAACCTGGCCTGGCAAGCCGTGCGACAGTGCCCAGCCAACCCGCAAGCAACTCGGCCAGACTTCAAAGGACATCTCGCGAAAGGGGTTTGCTTGTAGAGTAGTCACTCACGTGCATGGAGGAGCCGTTGCATATTCCATGAGGCCGACAGAGCTTTGGCGGTAAGACAGCAAGCAAGACGCCGTGGAATACTTTGTGGCAGTGAAGGCTGCTATATAGTCTTGAGTTTCGCTGGTCTGGCAAGGAAAGTAGGCACTAACTCCGAGGTGGCCAACAAGTGGGAGAGAGATGGTATTATCGTGGGATCATCATGGAGGTGATGGGGCATTGCAGACGCGGGAATCAATGTGAGTTGGTGATGCTGACCGATGACATGTACCTACCACCCACCACTTACCACCTACCAACTGCCAACTACCAGCTACCAACTACTAACTACCAATTACCAACTACCTACGGGATCTGACGCTAACAAGCCAACCTCAAGTTACGACTGCTCGAGCCCCAACCGCTCAGATGCCAGAGCCCTAGCCTCCAAAATATACACTCGACTGCCCCTCGAACTCCGCAACCGCGTCTACACCTACTGCGTACAAGGCCCTTACGACGACGAAGTCATAATCCGGCGATCCCTCCATAGCCGCAATGCCTTTGACTTTCTGGTCCGAGAATCCTCGGGCCCGCACTCCTATCTCTGGGTCGAGGACCCAACCGCCTCCCTGATTAGCTCTGAACGCATGACGACGGCCACTGCGCGCGAAATGCTGGAAGCCTACTATTGGACACGCGTCTTCAAGTTCTCCCATCGTGAACTCGACCTCCTAACCGCCTTCCTAGGCACTGACGTCTTTGGCCTCGGACGACTACCAGTCATCTACGCAAGACGGCTGCACATTCAGCTCCGCCCATTCGCACATGCACAGCGTTCGCCCAAGCACGACGCAAAGGAGCAAGCAAAATGCCGCCAGGCCATCTCGGCGCTCGCAGCCATACAAAACGCGCGCACAGAGGTGGTCGTGCAATTCGATCTCGCCCGACATCTTCTCGACGGCGCAAGCAGCGACGAGCAGTTTTCCGCAGAGGACGCTGCATTTCTACTACTGCTTGTGCGGGACCTCATTGCGTTGAAGGAAAAGGGGTTGCGCGTGGAGATTTTGTTTAGTGGGACTTGGAATGAGCATCCTAGTACTCGCATCCGCAGCATGTCCATTTGCTCGCCGGAAGAGTGCATGGTTAGAGTGACAAAGGCGGCTCGATATGTGCGTCTTGGGGAGACGCCTTGAAGAAATGGTTCAAACTCTCAAAAGGATCAAGGTGCGCTGTGAATTCGGCAAGTTTTTTTTTTTTTTTGCTCAAATGCATGAATCAGCGAGTGAGCGATATATTACCAACAGAGACGGAAATCCAATAAATCTATATCATATCATCCTCGACAAACGGCTCCACTCCAACACATCGGCACCACTAAAACCAACGAGGAGAAAAATAAAACGCGGCTTATGATGTATTAGCAGGAATGTGAGATATACCTACCCTTGTTTTTGTAAGAGTAAGGGTTTGGAGTTGGGAAGCACAGAGCTTGTATGAACCTTCTATTCCATCCTTTTAATCCTCTGATCCTCCCGTCTTCCTAGTCTGAATGAATCCTTCCAATCCACCAACATACTCCACCAATGTAGCCTCCACTAAACCCCACAACCATCACCTATATAATCCCTCCACCCTCTTTCCCCTTCATCCCACACAACATCGATTGATAATCACACAGGGTATAAAAGACAATGTAACAGCGAACAACGACCTGACCCAGCCATCTCATGCAAAAACATCATCTCCTGCCTCCCACCTCGACTGGAGCTGTGGTTCAAGATCAGGATAACGAGGTCAGGAGGGGGAGAGGTGAATACGTGGAGCAGGGTAATTTCTGCTTTGTTGTTGTTTGTTGTTGTTGTTATTATAGAGGGTTTGGCGTTGCTATTACCATGACGTCGTTGTCATTATCGTCTACTTTAATCACACATCTCGTTCTCTCGTCCTGTCATATCTACATCCCATCCCATCCCATTCCATCATGAGCGAGAAAACCAAAAAAGGGTCGAAACCCACCCGAAAAAATATAACGCCGCGCTAATGCTATGCAATGCCATACTCTACCAAAAGAGCAAGCGGTCCCTCATAAAGCAAGACGGGAGGGGAGACGTCAAACAAACAAAAAACAGCAATAAATCAAACCCGGCACCTATTAACCGGCTCAACTCTTCTTCCCACACTTGCCATACTTGTAATCCCACTTACTACTCCAGCGCGGCCACGGCAACAACCAAACCTTGATCGACACCTTGAAGCCCACGAAATTCCTCAACAGGAATAGCAGCGCCGGAACGACGGCGACACCCAGCTGCGTGGAATAACGCACAACCTCCGCCTAGAGAAGTTGCCACTGGGCTGGGAAGATGGCGTAGACGAGGCCAAGGACAAGGGCGAGACAAGATGGAATCGCCACGGACGAGATGGCACCGTTGCTTGCGGGGGCAGCGGGGACCGCACTAGCGGCTGCGTTTTGCAGGCTGGGAGGAGTGGTGGCTGTGGCGGTGGGAGAGAGGGTGAAGACCGTGCTGAAGCCTTTGTCGTCATATCCGGGCGAGACGATGGGTTCAGAGACGGTGGATGAAGCCGAAGCCGTAGGCGAAGCCGGCGGCGGTGAGGAATAAGAATCTTGAGGGAAGGGCTGGAGCAAGGTGAGTTAGCAAACGGGATCTATCGTGATATGGAACAACAAGGAAAAGAGTCTTACTGACAGTGGCTGAGCTGGGTGGAACCACTTTGCCTGTATCGGAAACGGTCCACCCGGCTGGTAGCCCGGGATAGTTGGAGAAGGTGGACTGTGGGGGCTGCGAGGCTGATGGGTTGGGGATCCAGGGGAAGACGCTGGGGCGATCGACATTGGAGGTTTGGCTGGGGGTAAAAGGAATCGGTTGGCCGCTGGCGGTGGCAGTGACTTCAGGCGCGTTTTGGACTGGAGCGTTGCCGCCCGAGAATATGGTACCACCAACGGATCTGATGGAGCCCCAGGTTCCGGATTGATCAGTGTAGACGTATTGGGTGCCTGTGGAGTAGTCCTGGACCTGTAGGGAACGAACCTTCATCGTGTAAGGGCCGTTGGAGTAGTCGGTTGGGCCTCGGGACCACTGGATCGTACCGGGACTGTTGGCTGGGTCCCCTCCACTCCAGGCGCCGAACTTGACCTGCATAGGCGATTGAGGATATTGGTTCTGGGCGTTGGCGGGCTCGAGGGTTCGGACAGTGACGCCATCAATCTGCCAGACAATCTGCTCTGGGGTCCATTCGATAGTGTACTTTTTGAATCCTCTCTGGCTGCCAGGGTCGGCGTGGAAGGCGCCGCGATTGTAGGTTGTCGTTTGACCTTTGCCAAAGTAGTTGGTCTGTACTTGGTCAGGGTCGGCACCGAGCCATTCCCAGTCGATTTCATCCAGGGTGTCGGACTGCAGGACAAAGCTGCTAACTATGCCAGCTCCAGGTGCGGCCTGGACTTCTATGTCGACCTTGCCAAACATGATGTACTGAGAATCGACGATGATAAACCACTCTAGCAAGAGGCGTTACTTT